AATATTCATTATTATTATTATTTATTTCAATATGTAGCATATATATATATATTTTCTGACTACTTTTTCACCCCAAAATGCTGAAATCACCAAATGTTCAAATAATTCTTTCAATTTGTATAACTTATATTCTTTAAAATAATAACACTTTGACAAAAATATTTTATCTTCGACAATATCTTTTGAGTTGTGTATCTTATATTTCTTAGAATAGTAACACTTTGTCAATGAAATTTCATCTTCAACAATAAAGTACATTTTGATTTGATTTGATTGCAATAATTAATAGTTACGTACAGCGCCATTTGTTCGCAAATAGGTCAAGCAATAATGGATAGTTACGTACACTGCCATCTGCCCGCGAATAGATCAAGCAATAATGCCGATAATTCTGTCAATACAGATCCCGATCTTGAGAGTTACACACAAACATGCATACAAACAATCATACATACATACATACAGATGAAGCCAATATAAAGGGTGTAATAAAAAAGTATAGATACATTTTTTGTAGAAAATTTTATGATCTACAATTTTTATCTGAGGTTATTTTATGATAAAACTTACCGTTTTTGAGATTTTTGACCTTTGACCTCGAATACATTTTTTTCCAGGCATCTCAATCATTCGAAATTTTAAAATCTCATTTTGAACTATATTTTGAACAATTACAGGCATTTGCAGCTTGTTGTAAATTTATGTACCTCCACACTTATTTTTTAGTCTAATTTGACCGGACGCGACCGGTACGCGACGGAAGAGGCACAGTGTACGTGCTCTGGTTCTAAAAAATATGCTGTGCTACCAGGGCCTGAATTTCCTAGTGCAGAATAATGCCCTCAAGAATTCATAGACCATGTTACATTTTCCTCAATCTATATTGCTTGGGAATGTAGCCTCATGTGACGCACTTTAGGGAAACGCTTTTACAATGCAATGAAGTACTAACTACACCTGATCTTCTTAGGTAGCCTCTATCCATCCAGGCAGGAAAGCGCAACTCTATAATCGTATCTCATTGAAGTTGTGGGATATTCAAGATGCAATATTTCCATCGTGATGGTCGCAGCAATCTTCCCATATAAGGTTATCGGTACGCAAGCTATACATGGCAATACTTTAGATTGAGCCATCCAGGCGTTTCCGCTTTTGATCTGGGTGAATCATCTCAAGCATAAACTTCCTCAGAATCTGCTCAGGAGATTATATCCTGACCTGTTGCAAATTCTGCTTCTGTTGCTCGACAATTAATTGTAATAATAATAATAATAATAATAATGACAAATGCTTTTATTGGAGGGTTACTCAGTACAGGAGATACTAATCTAGCCTAACAAATGGCAGAATTCAACGTCTGCGCATGATAAATCAAGGCAGAAATTGCTCTTCCATCCAACCAGAGTAGGAGATTTGAGCCGGTTCTAAGCCTCCCCCCACCACTATGACGTCACGTGGGGTGGATGACCTAGACCAACTCATGTGACTTTGAAAAATATGTCTGGTGCATGCCACCTTGATAAATATGTATGGTGCATATGACCTTGAAAAATATATCTGGTGCATGGGTGGTATGTGTAAATCACAGATTACAGCCGGTTCTGGGCCTCCCCCCACCACTATGACGTATTAATTGCTTTTTTGTTGTTGTTTAGTAACATCAAGGCGATGTGACCTTGTGAGTGCCAGGAATATTATAAGTAGAATTTTGAAAATCCTTCAATTAGTTGAATGAAAACCAATATAGCAGTACGGGATGGATTTTAAGAAGAGAAAAGGCTTTGGAGATAAAGAGCCCGATTATGATATCTTCAAGCCGAGGGAATCATTGGATAGGACACCGCCGGAAAAGAGAAAAAAGCTGATTGAAACGTGATTCAAGAAGCTAAGACAAACATGGAGGGTGCTGTGAAGAACATATTAAACAAATCGAACGAGGCGATTGAACAACTAAGAGAAGAACTGAACAGGACGTTAAGAGAGAGTGACGAGGAACCAGGAAATGAGGAAGGGACACTAGATAAATCAATTATGAGCATGTATAACTGGGGAGGTAACGCACAGTCGGACGCAGACTTGTGGACGGCCATGATCGAGGATATGGTCGGGACTATCCAGAAGCCCACGACCAGATTCTCTGGGGGCAAGGTGCAGTTTAACAGAGAAGAGCAGAATGCTGTTAGCGGATGCTTGCAGCAAATTGTTCGGGTAAGTGGACAGCTTGGTAACAAGCTTAAAGCATTAGAGACGAAAGAGGGTGTGTTAGAAGGAAGGATTAAGGAGCTTGATAGGAAGGTAAGAATGATGGAGAAAGAGAGGGAGAATGTGATAGCCTTGATTATTAGGCTGGAAGAATTAGTTTGGTGGATGAACGGTATGGGAGAAGAATGGCGCATAATGAAAAATATGATAGGGAACATAGACAGAAATATCAATGGACTAGGTAAGAAACAGGAGTTTAGGAAGGACATGAGGGAGAAAATGAGCACCGGAAAGACTAGGCAACGGGTGGAAGAAGCGGGACCATCGGAACTGGTAACCACTACCGAGATGGAAACCGATGCTGATATGGAGGCAGCAGGAGAGGAAACGGACGTGGGAACAGATGCCGGATATAGAGAGGTGCAGAACAAAAGGAAACGAAGAAAGAAGAATAGAGGAAAGAAAACTTATCCTTCGGTGTTACAAAGAGCGAGGCAGGAGAGGACAGGGTGGAAAACACCACCACCTCTGGAGGAAGAGATAGTGGTTATGAAGGCAAATGAGGAAGAAAATGTACCTACCGCACGAATTGTTAGTGAAAAACTAAGACAGGAGGGGTGCCTGTCATATGTGGAAGCTGTCACCCGAAATCGGACCGGGGTGGTGGTAATCAAGGGAAAACGGAGGAAGGTAGGAGAAGGATTAGGAACGTACTACGGGATGAAAGCAGGATCAGGGTGAAGGATGGTCAAAAGCCAAATCCCCATGTCCTACTAACGGGAGTTGAAAAGGGATATGGGGACGAGGAGCTGATCAGACTGCTGTTGAGTCAGAACCCAGAGTTGGGTGATGAACTAACGGAAGCTGATCTAGAGAGTATGGTGGTGAGAAAGAGGAGAAATTGTAGGAATAATTGGAGAGAGAATGTGATCCTACAACTGAATGCCAAGCTCTTCCGGAAAATGATGACCTTGGGAGTACTGAGCCTGGACTTGGCTGATATATACGTAGAAGAGCACAACAGCGTGGCGGTGTGCTTTAAGTGTTGCCACTTTGGGCACACTACCAAAGCAAGCCGGCAGGAACCAGCATGTAATAAGTGCGCAGGGCAACACGAAGGGCGTGAGTGTAGGGGTGATAGAGGACTCAGCTGCGTAAATTGCAAAAGAGTCGAAATGGTAGTGGGTTAAAGGAGGCACTCGGCACTCGCAACACACTCAAACAGAAAACACGTGAAATAACATTTTTATCGTATAGATATCTGAACAGTCAATTTGTACCGTCTTTCCTTCACCATGTATTAAGGAGGTGTACTCACTGTCTTTACACATATCATACAGAGTATATCGTACTTCCATTTCCTGCCCTTCAGGTAAATCAGATGTTTTCTTTTTGATACGATGTCTACTTTTTCCTGGAGTTGATGGAATGGGTTTGTGTTTATTTCTTTATTTGATGTTGAACACCGTTTTTTTTAGATATTTTAAATGCATCTGCAACTCTCTAAAATACAGTTAAGAAAAGTTATGACATTTCTTTTATCATTTTAATGGTTACCTCTNGAGAGTAGAGCGCCACCCGCTTTATCAACCCTGGAGCTTATATAGCATACTAAACAGAAACGGGAAATTTATTCCAAACGGTAACCGATTGAATCAAACTCAGATCCAGGTAAAATATCTATAATTCCTTTCCCTAACATCCACACCTTTCTCAGTTGGTTCCAAACTTGTTGACAAATCCCTTGATTCATCTGTCAGTTTATAAATTGTATCAACTGTTGTTATAAGGATTCCCCCTACAATACTGGCAGGAAGCCTTGAGTTCCTGAGGCCACAAAGTGTCAAATTTGAGAACGAACGAAACACATAACCATGTTTACTACAGTTCAAGAATCTGAAACAAAAGGAAAATAACATATAAAATGCTTTTATGTGTTTCGTTCCTGGTTGTAAACACTACAGTGAACAGGGGATTTGTAAATTTTTTGGATTTCCTGCAGACCCAGCTGAGAGAAAAAATGTAGATTAATCTCATAGGGTACCTGATAAGCATACTTAATATATAGATGAAGCATTTTATTGTTAAATTAATTTGCAGGAGACAAGATCGAGAGCCATCAAAGCATTCATTAGTTTGCAGTTGTCACTTTGTTAACATGGATTAAAAAATAGAACAACTTCATTTGAATTCAATGTGAAGAGAAAGTTCGACTTTAAATCTCCAGAAAAACGGTATGTTCACAGGAATGAGAAGAGATTAATACATAGATGAAGCATTTTATTGTTAAATTAATTTGCAGGAGACAAGATCGAGAGCCATCAAAGCATTCATTAGTTTGCAGTTGTCACTTTGTTAACATGGATAAAAAAATAGAACTTCATTTGAATTCTATGTGAAGAGAAAGTTCGACTTTAAATCTCCAGAAAAACGGCATGTTCACAGGAATGAGAAGAGATATTACTATTCTTGGATTCAATAACTTTGTTTTCAGTAAACGAACCGTCAAGGCAAGAGAGGTTGAGGTGGAAGCAACCAACATAAGTTCAGAAGCAGCAGGGCCTTCAGAAATATCTGAAACAGAGACTCTTACCATTTTAAATCTGTAAATGGTATCATTTCCACATAGATACTTTTGACTCCTTTGGTGAATAAATATATGATTTCACTGATTGAATTCTTCGAATTTTATTCACTATTTACAGTAGTGGCCTTAAAAAAATTAATACTATCTATCACAACTGATTGATTTGGTTTCCATTATTTTGAGCTTGTCCCCAACAGTTAGCATATTCAATACTATTACAGAAATATTGGTGAAGGTACATTCTGAATATTTATTACATATATCTAATACACTCTACCTTAACATGATTATCTGGTTATAGTTTTATATACTGAGTCAAGTTTCAGCTGATATAAGTTCGTGTGTAAGTTTTGGCAGGTACTGTTCCATATAAAAATATTCTAGCAGCGATAAGTTTTCTGCCCACAGTGGATCAGATTCCTTGTCCGTCACAGATATATTGTAGTGTCCAAAAAGAGCTAATGTGGCGATATGATGACATTTTATTCCTCTATAGGACAAGCACAATTTGCATATGTGATATCTTCAGATTTATTCAGTGTGATCTGCAACAAAGATACTGTTCGGTAAAAATGGAAAACTTATACATGACATACGACTCACTTCAACATGATGGAATTTACCTTTCATGCTTGCATGAAAGTCAGCATCAAACTGTATACTTTCCACATGATTCGATTCCAAGGCATTTTCAGCCTTTTTCATGATTTTATTATCATTGTCGAGTAAATCGTTTATAGAGGATAGTTTTAAAACATGTTTTGAATCCATTCTACATCTGAAATCTGAAACAATAGATGTTAAGTTACTATATTTGAATTGAACAAATAACATAACCTCAACAAACATAACAACCCTTGAATTTTCATTAAAAACGTTACCTACCAATGGAGATTTTTTTCAAAATATGTAACAACTAACTGACGCCAAGTCAAAAATGTACGCGAATATCCTTATTAGCAATGCAAGCACATACAATAAATATATAAATAATTTCTTATGGCGTTTTGAGATGTAAAATCGATTTGTTTGGAAAAGTTCGCTAAGCTCCGCCTACTTGTGACGTTAGAAATTAGAAAGTCTGTTAGAAAAGTAGAATCTTCTCACATTTGACACTTTGTGGCCTCAGGAGCTCAAGGCTTCCTGCCAGTATTGTAGGGGGAGTCCTTATAATAACAGTTGATACAATTTATAAACTGACAGATGAATCAAGGGATTTTTTAACAAGTTTGGAACCAACTGGGAAAGGTGTGGATGTTAGGGAAAGGAATTATAGATATTCTACCTGGATCTGAGTTAGATTCAATCGGTTACCGTTTGGAATAAATTTCCCGTTTCTGTTTAGTATGCTATATAAGCTCCAGGGTTGATAAAGCGGGTGGCACTCTACTCTCCATCTTACCCACGCCTTTCTTCACTGTTTGAAAGCTGGCGGCCTTTCCTGGGAACTATGCTCTCTCTAATCCCTAGTTGTCACCCTCATGCCAAATTGTGGAACAACGAGAAATCGTTTACAAATTGACTTAATTATTCAATGAGAAATATAAGGCGTGACAAAAGATGACGCCACCTTTCAGTCTTTTGAAAAATGATTTCCAATATTTTTTAGCATTCCTTATAATTTTTGCTATATAACAGATCAAAGCAATTCAATTTTTATATTCTTCAACACAGATCATATCAGGTTTGTTCTGGTTCTACAAAATTCAGGTCCGAGGACGTCAGGAGTATGCGCAGATATTCAATAACCAACAAATTCCCAACCACGACTTTTTTAGTCAAAGCAGTCCTTTGTCACATAATCTACTACTGTTTGTATGAATAATGTAGCCCTGAAAAGGGCTGTTGTTTTTTTTTTGACCAGTAGGTCCACGGTTATTGTGTCACAGATTCGACATTATTGCATATTATAGATGTCGACACTCGGGTGAAATTGGTTAGGGGTCTCTCGCAACCATCGCACGAATTATGTCCCATTTCCATCATGGAAACGGTGTTGTGGGTGTTAAATAACTATTGTTTCGTGACACCTCCTGAAGAAGATATATATATATGTAATAGTGATGATCCATCAATACTCATAACAGTGGAAAGAGATAACCAGACAGCCGACAGTGTTTTACAATTTAGCTACATTTGTCAGACATGATATTGACAGTTGACAGTATCGTTGTTTTATGTTTTCGGGTATTGTTTTCTTCAGTTTTACAGTATTTTGCAGTCAAATATATTACAAAAATAGTTTTTTTCAAAGCAAAATGCATCATCATTACTTTCAAAGTAAGTACAATACAATGTGTTTTATTCATAAAGGTTCTTTAATTTTAATATTTCCAACCTCACAATTGATATTTGTGACTATAATTCCGCATTACCGGGATATTATACAAGAGTAATTGGGAGTGTGGAAACAATAATGAGAGAAATAATTATAATGATTGAATAAATAAAAATTAAAGGAAAAAAATAATAAAAAAAATAAAAAAGTGTAGAGATTCCAAGTCACGTTAGTTCACGACGTTTCGATTGTTGGTATCTACAATCGTCTTCGGGTGATGACTGTGATCACCCTTTCTTAACTGTATTTCAGAGAGTTGCAGATGCATTTAAAATATCTAAAAAAACGATGTTCAACATCAAACAAAGAAATAAACACAAACCCATTCCATCAACTCCAGGAAAAAGTAGACATCGTATCAAAAAGAAAACATCTGATTTACCTGAATGGCAGGAAATGGAAGTACGATATACTCTGTACGATATGTATAAAGACAGTGAGTACACCTTCTTAATACATGGTGAAGGAAAGACGGTACAAATTGACTGTTCAGATGTCTATATGATAAAAATGTTATTTCACGTGTTTTCTGTTTGAGTGTGTTGCGTCGGGACTTCTAATTCTAGCTATACCATAGGTTAAATTTTGACAAATGTCATTTTTAACCAATGAAATTAAGTGTATCGGTGCAGCACACTCTGAAAAAAAAAAGCAGATTTTATTCGATGCAAATGACTTAGACACGACAGTGACTAGTGAGAAAAAATTCTAAATAAATATAACCCCCCCTCCCCATTTTTATCAGTCACAACTGTATCAGGAAAGGCCTTGGATGTATGATAATCAGTTAACTAGTCAAACTTTATTGTCAAATATATTTTTCTTTTACATTTGAAGGTTCACTTGTATCTCGTATTTGAAGTGTAGTTATAATATCAATTCTCCTATTCAATGAATTTTGAAATGTACCTATATTAATTTGAATATTTTCTTCCAGAAAAAAAATCTTACCCTTCTATCTTTGAACGATGAGCTGAAAAATAAGGAAATTGTTTCTATGTGCAAATCGTCTTCAAATGTTTTATTGAAAGAGCTGGGATTTAAATTTGAAAAAGATGATAATCGAAGAGCTTTGATTGAAAGACCTTATATCGTTTCACGAGCATTTTTTTACGGAAATACCGGGAAAACCGAAGAAGAGGACATAAAAGAAAGTCTTGGCAGGATAATAATGTAAAAATGTACGCAAACCCGAAGGATATGATGGTAAACGATTTATTGTTGTGCCTGCTGGTTCTGTGAAAGGGTTTATTCCAGAAGCCAGTTTATTGTTCTGTTCAAAATCTTTGACTTTAGATTACCATGGAGAAATGAATAGTATAATGTTCACCAAGTGGATTACTTTACAGTTACTTCCCAGTTTGGAAGAACCATCTGTAATCATAATGGACAATGCACTATACCACAGTGAAATTTTGAATAAACAGCCTACCAGTTCTTCAAGAAAATCGGAAAATGTTAGTTGGTTACACAAAAACAACATGGAATACGAAAATATGACTCCATCTCCCATAAACTCAAAGAGTGCAACTGGCTGAACATGGAGAATAGACGGTAACTCCACTTGGTTTCATTCACACATGGACTCCTAAACAAGTCCAACCCACCAGCTCTATTGCATAAATTCATTCCACGTTCTAGAATACATTCAAAAAATATCAGAAACAGATCTGCCCTGACCATGCCCCAGCACAAAACTGCGATATTTCAACGATCTTTTATTTTTAACTCCATTCGAATGTACAATCTTCTTCCTGACCAATTCAAGTTATATAACATAAATAAATTCAAATATAAATTGAAGAACTATTTATTACTCACACAATGATGTAATATAGCAAATTCTGATAATTTACATTTTACCTATTAATTGACTGCAATTATTCAGGCTAGTAAGTTTTCAATAATGTATATGTTATTTCCTGACCAAATATATTTCAACTGGTGTTTTTTTTTTACTTCTTAGACATTCATTTGTGTCTCTACATCCATGCACGGATAATTCAATGGAAGCTCGTTTGTTAAGCTAATTTTCAAGTAATATTTGATATCATTTGTGATGTGATGTGTTGCATACTTCCTGGGATTCTCAAAAATCATTTATTTGATATTGGGTTTTCTACTGACGGAAAGATGACGCCACCTATCACTCTTTTGAAAAATGAAACGATTCTATTATTTTTTTCATAAATTCTGTACCTCAGAGGTAAACTATCGTAACTGACATTTTGCAAATTTTACAGGAGAGCAGTTGCAATTCAAGTTACTTGAGTTTACCTCTATCATATCATGACAGATACATTAAAGTTACATTGGCTATGACGCCATTCATTAGCTGTGCAGATCCACTATCCACTAAAGACTATACACCTCGATAATGTAGTTACATCAATAACCCCAAAATCGAGAATTTTGTAGTTACTACAGTTTACCTCTCAAGTACAGAATTTAATACAATTTTTGCGTAGATATTATAGTTCAGAAATCGCAAAGTTGCGAAATACTAGAAAAATCGAGCAATTGAATTGAATACTTCAAGTAACACTTTTTATGGGATTTTCACCGAATATTTTGCAAAACCGAAGCACTTGTATAACTGTGTACTGTATACTATAGTTTTCTCTGGCGTATTCATACTAGATATATTTTTAAAGTGGTCATAATCATGATTGGTTTCTAATTATAAAAAAAAACTACTTGCAGTCCCTACTATTCAAACTGACACTTAATCCATTGTAACGTTATTTCCACATTTCAAGTTCTTCAACTTCTAAATACAGTGACTAGTTTTTATTCTGTTATTTTGTTCAAATAAAGAAGCATATTACTTCCAAATTACTTCAAGACCTTCACAACCGTACGAAAGTGAACACCATGCTTTTACACACTTTGGCGATCACGGTCTCCAACTTCAGTTCATAGATAGCGCAACTATATTTCCAGCTAATGCTTGTCCTGTTTTATGTTGAGAATGTATTGAAATACTCTTGGAGGACCATTTATATGTAATAAAGCTTAAAAATACCTACCTGGCATGCCTGACGTCACAGCTAAGCCTAGCTCTCAGCTGTGGACGCGTTAACAGAAGTCGTTACGCTATCGTTTAGAGGACAGATGCGCTAACATAGTTCTCGCCGCCTGTGCGTCGCCATTGACAGCGAGGGATGAGCGATGCGTTACGTCAGTCATCTCCGTATCGAGAGAGTTGAGGACCCACCGATGAATACGCCTTACTCAGCCACACGCCGTGGAGTAAACATCACGTTCTCCAATCGTTAAACAGTTGCTGCTGTGACGTCACACCACTAACTTGGTGGGCTCACACCAATGGAACATTCATTACTTTGTGGATCTTTGAAAGAGAGAGGGCGTTACCAACTTTTTTCCAATCGGAAAGGGGGTTTTCAAAATTTAATTCAGTTGTCTATTCAACACTGTATTACTTTTGGAATATCGAATTGATTCAATTGTCTATTCAACACTGTATTACTTTTGGAATTTCAAAGTAGCAATTTCTGTGTAATCAGCAGTTTCACATACGTTTTATGACAATGTTAACAAAATTTTGTAAGAAATATACTCAAGACGAATTCATCTCGATGCGCTCTCACATACTGAATGATGGCGTTTACGATCACAACTCGTTATGCAGACGTGTGTTTATTCTGTACAAACTGGTACAGAGTACATATGAACGATAATGTCAAATCATAACTTCACCGTGAAAGTCAAACCCAAAACACTACTTCAAAGTCGCCTTGTCCGCATATAAATAAAGACTTCTTCAAAAGTCACTTTGTCGACATCGTGTGACGTATGTTGATGTCATTTCAGAATTGAGAGTGTCTTGCGACCTCCTCACCATCACAACTCGATGTGTTGACAGATGGTAGGTTCTAAC